CTGAAGTTAACCCAAAAAGTCACATTTCATTTTTATTACGAATTTTCATTTGAAAGAATCACAGTGACTCAGACAAGCACTATTTCCTTGTAGTGTTAATGTGGCAATTTTGTGGCTGCAATCCAAAGAACAACAGAACTGGGTGTCCTCACTGGGGCTCCCTCCACAGCTCTGAATGACTTCTCATTCACTTGGTGTCACTAAGCTGATCCTTTTTTCTGCTGCTGCAATTTTTCCTCAGGTCATGTTGGAAGGGAAAAACATTGAAGAAGGATTTGGGATTGCATATAGAATATTGAACAAAGAAGCTGCAAAAGAAAACTGCTGCATTATTTTAGATTATTTTTATGTAATTTTAGATTTTTATTTGAAACATTGAGTTAATTTCTGAAGGGAATCATTATGTGTATTTGTATTGGGCCCTGTCTCCCATTGATCAGAATGAGGTAGAATTATTTCTAAGGGAAGAAAGCTATTCTTTCATCAGGCAGCTCATTAAATGTATCAAGGAGTCTGGTGACTTTTAGTTATTTGATTAAGCAGCTGAGATGCTCCTAATTCTTTGTTCTCAAATGTGACAACTGTCTAGAAAAATTGATCTCCTCACCTTGCAGTCAGTGGGTGGCACTAACGGGATACCCGTCTCTGAGTGCTTAAATGAGGAATGAGGATGGCTTCCTTTGGGGAAGAGGTTGTTGTTGTTTTTTAACTGACTATACAGGCGAGTACATCCCATCCTGCACAACCTGAAAGGGACAGCCTGAGGATGCGGGTTGTAGCATCTGAGCTAGTTCTGAGCAGCTGAATGTCAGATTTTAGTGCTTGAGTGCTTGGTGGGCATTGATGTAACAGGCTTCCTCATTTCCTCAGTTCTTGAGCTATGAATCACAGCAAAGAAGAATTGAAATCTTGAAAATCAGTATCAGAAGCAGTATCTTTCTGAATGCCACTTGCTGAGAAACCAAATGTCGTTATGTTCATACCATGGCTGTGGGCATCCTTTAGGTCTTAACATTAAGCCACGCGGTCCAGTAAAAGCTTCTGATGAAGTAGCTGCCTACTGTGCCTTCTTTCAGTGGGTAGGGCTCTGTTTATAATTCCCCCCTTGTTTCTCTGGTTGCTTCTTAGCAACCTACAAGGGCAAGCGTGAGCAACCATATGTTTGTCAGTTCATCTCATTCTCTTTCTACCATTTTTACTTTCTTCCTG